TCATCCGTATAACACAACGTACATTATTGGAAGCTTTGAGCTCGCACATCAATCAACATTTCGTTACTCAGATACGGAGCTAGTGAAGGAATCAACGGACACGTGTATGTATGTATGTATGTATGTATGTATGTATGCATATGGATGGATGGATCGATCTGGACAATTTGATGGATGGATAAATGGATGGACTGGTGCACCATGTACCGAAAATGACCTGCCACAAGTAGTACTTCATAACACTTCGTATTCTGAGCGCAATATATACTACTTTTGCTGGTCGGTGTGCATATGTTCAAAACTCCTGATAATGTATAAAAAACCTACTCATACTTTTGAATCCTGATTCTCAACGCCATCGCCTCTACATTATCTACCTACATCATCTTCGAACACATCCGGTTTCAGAAGTCATTTCAACAACGTTGGCCTTTATCGGCAGCCCATGAGCTTTACCATTTTCCCGAAATCATATAAGAGCTCTACTAGATTTGTCAGTTGGATACGACTCGAAAGTGAGAGAAAATTTGAGGTCATTCTTGCCTTTTTCTCCCACCCGTTCCATATTTAGTCGTCTGTTTGTATCTCAATTTTGAGGTGGTGCATCGTTTACGATGTGTTTGATAAATAAATAAATAAATAAATTTACACGTAAAAAGAAGTCACTTGCACATCCTTATGACTCATATAAATAACTTTCAAAAATTTTGCGACCCAATCTGGGGGGGGGGGGGGGCAAAAAACAAGTTCGGTGGTTTTTTAGCGGTTTGTGAAAAGTTCCAATCAATTTGCGTGATAATGACGAAAAGTCGTGATGAAATAGTTGCTGTCTGAATTGTTATACAGCATTGAATTTGCATGTTAAAACGAATTCTGACAGCAAACCTAATATTTCTGATCTGACCGGGCCAAAATTTTGTATATACAACTTTAGAGAAGCTGCTAATGTAAGATAGCTACTTTTCATAAACAATCATGGTTCATTTTTTTCTCGCAAATGGTAAGCTGCAGTGCTAGGACTAGGCTCGGCGTTCTGATAATGTATATACAGGGTGTCCCAAAAGTATGTATCGAACGTTTGATCGTTAATATCTCTCTTCCCAAGAAGTCTTTTGCCTTGCTTCAAGTACCATTTTGTAGAGCTAGCTTCAACTTAGATTTGCATTATAGAACGAATCACTCATTCCTCTTCATTACTGTAGGATTACGGTAGAAACTTCAAAGAGGGTTTTAAGCAATGAAAGGCCATATTTTGCCTTAGAAAGGAAATAAAACAGCCTGAAAGTTTTCACACTAGGCTAATTAGAGTTGCTGATTATAACTGTAAGGTTCCCAACTTATTATGATGCTTCATTGAGGAGTTATGCCAGGTAAGAGGTAGCGGCCATTTTTTCAATGTTCCTAAAAAGTGCGATTACACCGTTTAGAAAGCTTTGTAATCTTGTGAATAGTTGAGTATTGAACTCAGCATCCATAAAAACCCTATTACACAAGTTTTCACAATTTTTTGAATAATTTTGAAACGGCAGCTTTTTCCACATTGACACCATATGTTTCAAGTTTCTACCGTAATCCTACAGTAATGAAGAGAGATGGGTGATTCGTTCTTTAATGCAAATCTAAGTTGAAGCCAGCTCTACAAAATGGTACTTGAAGCAAGGCAAAAGACTTCTTGGGAAGAGAGATATTAATGATCAAACGTTCGATACATACTTTTGGGACACCCTGTATAATGGTCTCCTCAACGAATTTCCCCAACAATTAGAGCCTCAGGACAGCAAACATGCTGATCACAAACGTGATGAAAATATACAAACATCAAATGCTTTTGTCATTATAATCTGTGCTGCGACATGCCCGAAAACGGCACAGGCACATTACAGGTAAATCACTAATGGGTTGATATCGAATGCTTTACTGATCACTTATGTCGTAGTTTTGGCATTAAAGCAGAGGTATTACTGTGGATTCAGATGTGAATGACAATATAATTTATTGACGGGAGACGAGGGAGCCGGATATGTCAGCTTGCATTTGTGCTTAGTTTTATTAGTGAAATAACCTCAGTTTACAAACCTTGAATCTCGTGTACTCATTGGACCAAGACGACAATGCTTTGGAAGATCCTGGTGTCCGATCTCCTATCATTTCCACTCTGAGTGTTACATCATTGTCTTTTTCTGTCAGCTGATGTAATAACTCGAGTCCTAACCAAAAGTTGGAACTCTGCAATTACTTGCTGCACTTCAATCTATTTATAATGTTCAAAAAATTACATTAGTCATTCCTGCTTTGTTGAAGCCATTTTTGTAGTCATTCCAAGCTCTATTCCAAAAGGATTCGTTGTTGTTCACACGACTGAAATCAGTTAAACAGTTTATGCAAATTTCTTGGTTCAAACTTCATTCGCGCAAAGAGAAATGTGCCAAGATTAAGACACATAAATTTGTCTGTAGTGTCAAATTTGGACGGAATAATCCTACTTAGGTTCGAAGGAATGGAGATATAGTAAGATGCATGTGAAAAAAATAGCACTCGCTCATCAGAGAGTCGCCTTCGGCATTTTTCTTCTAACATCAAACTTAAGGATTAAAGCAAGTACTTGCAATCCTCAAAAGCTGTGAACGCAGCTTTCGATTCAGCATGAAAGCTCAAAAAGCTCAAAGATAAGTGCAGTGCTCTCAAGAGAATTACTTTTGGAAGACTGTCCATCCACCGCCATTATCCATGCTGCAATAAACATTGTGCGAAGTTCCATTGAGCGAGATGCTGTATACTCCGCTGCTGAAAAGTTGAACCTCAAATGTTAAATTCAAAATCGATAACATACGCTCACTCTTTGTAACCCGCTTTGTACCAGTCAGCACAGTCTGTCATTTCTTGAGGTACTTCACACGCGAAGCAGGGTACAATATAAGCAGCAGAATCAGTTCTCCAGAATCCTCGATAAGTGTGAAGTTTTTACAACATATCGTGAGTCATAATCAATAACGCATCGTACCTGTATTCGAATCTACATAGATGTAAACGCTGCTACTATAGGCTGGTTCGCCTACAATGTTAATTATCACAGAAGCAGATAAACAGAGCCAAACAGTATGAGGTTCAACCCCCTCTTCAATGTTCCGTCATGTTCTACTTTTCTGCAGTATGAGAAATTACGAGTGACTGCAAAAAAGTACCGGTTGCCCAGAAAGAGTAGTCAAAACGTGTGCCATCAGTCCAGGTACCTTTTTTGTTAGAAGTATAGCCGCCAATCCAGATGGTACTGCAGTTACTGGACAAGCCCAGCTCTAAATACCAAAATAATCAGCAAAATATCTGGTATGTGGAAGCTTTGAACGGAGTCTCACTGGTTAACTCAAATTACTAACTGCAGACTTATAGCGGTTCACAAAATGCGGCACAAGGTAACCGGGCAATCCTCTCCCTTGGTTCCTTCTCATTAAGGGCTGCTTGCAACAATCCTGCTGGGGAGGGCAACGCAGGTTGAAAGAAAGCTTTACATTCGGAAGCTTCAGGTATCTGGATATCACCGTTTGTCCAACCATTAATTTTCGTGTTACCCTTCATTGTAAACATAATGATTAGGAGCGAGAATTTGTACATATGTTACGGATTTTTGTATGATCCCCTAGAGCTTCCCGGCGGCGGTCCAGTAGTTCCCAAAGCCTCGCCGCTTTTCCTTGCAGTGTCAGTTAGCGCCCCTAAGGGGCCTTCGCACCTTTCAGACGGCTCCGCCCACTTGCTCCACCAACTAGCTAATCTCATTTCGAGTTGTGCAGGCCTGGAGAATTGTCCCAATGTGTTCTGCTAAATGGATGAATAATGACGGATGGAAGGTGACGGATGAGCAGTTATGAAGTCTACTTGTGGGCATCGCTTTGTCAGAAGCAAATATACTTCCGTTTTCTCGACTTTCAGCCAGAAAATGAATATGTAGGTATTTCTGATGTGAAAACATATTCATTGAGCAAGTTGCACAAGTGCAATTTTTGATGGAGTACTTAATTTTTTCGGATTTTCGGGCAGTTGGATTTTTCTAGTTCTTTGGCTACAAATTCGCATGGATCGAATTTGATGCAACTTTTAGGCACTACCTTGTAGAGCTTGCTGTGCTCTATCAAATGAAAACCACAGAATCTATTCAGAATAAGCGAAATTTGACTTATTGCGGTTTAGAACAGTTTTGAAGCTAGATCTTGACTTATTAACCAAATAATTTGAGTCTCTCATTAATTTTAACAACTTTTTATAGAGTCTGAATGCGTTTTCAATACTGAAATTTTTTTGAGTTCATGTCTTGGTGCTTTTCAAGATAATGAATGAAAAGAAAGACCTTTTTCTGGAGAGATTTGTTGATAATTTTGCGATTAATTTAAGCTAATTATTCGCTGAAATTTTGTAAATTTTCTGTTAGCATGCCAAAACGATTCTGACCTACTATATAGGTCGATGCAAAAGTTCTCGCCTAAATCAAAGGAAATTCAATCACTTACTAAGATTTAAACCTAAGTTCATGGCTTCTTCAGGAAAAGAAGTGAGTTTTGCGCTTCAAGACGGTTATCCCATTTCATCTTTTTGTTGGCACCTCAGAGAAGCAAGTTTGCAAAGATTGCATTGCAAATTTCGTCTTGAGTCTTTTTAAATAGTGCCAAAGTGGTAGTGGTAGTGAAAAATGGCGATACTTATCCTCAAGAAATTTTTGAAACGTTCATACAGTGCTGGTCATAGCTATAAAGCCACTCTAGAATTGGCTACCTCGCTTTGTTCTCATCAGATAAATCCAAAATTCTAGAGGAACGTGTGTTTAACATCGATCCTTCACATATTCAAGACACAATGAATTTAAACCAATTGGAAGAAAAATACAGCAAAAAATCCAAAAATCGCAAAATAAAGGCTGGTCATAGCTATAAGGCCACCTTGTGATCTAAGCATTTACAAGTCTCTTTTGCTCCCGGTAATTTTCGTACGGATACATCGTTGAAGTGCGAGTTATGCCGTGTGGTCAGTTTTTATCGGATTTTGAAAAGGGACGCATCACGGCCCTCCACTTATTAAATTGGCCCATTCGTCGCATCGCCGTAGAAATCGGAAGAAGCCGTACGGTTGTCAGCAACTATATAGCAAATCCACGTGGCTATGGAAGAGTTCTCTTTACTGGGCCTCCAATAGCAGTTAGCGCTCGAGAAGAAAGGCTTATAATTCGAGCTGCATCTAATTCGACTACCAGCTCGTCTCAAATTCAGAAGACTTTAAAGCTTGGATGCTCAGCTCGCACAGTTCGAAGAGTGCTAGAACGAAGCGGAAATATTGTTAGAGCAAAAATGACTCCGTGTCTAAAGCTCACAGTACTACACAAGCAGCAGCGCCTCGCATTTGCCGAAGAGGAGCTCACGCATCCGCTTGACTGGAACAGGGTACCGCTTTCGCTAATAGTTCAACCCCATTTTCTAAAGATTTTCTATTCAGATTGTTTGGTCGGATGAGAAGAAATTCAATCTGGACGGACCCGACGGTTTCACTTATTATTGGCATGATCTACGCAAGGAGCCTCGACATTTCAGCAGGCGTAATTTCGGCGGAGGCAATGTAATGGTATGGGGCGCTTTCGAGTCATCAGGAACCCTCCCTCTTGCATTCATTTCTCATAAAATGAACAGTTCGGAGTATGTAGAGATGTTAGGTAGTCATCTGGTCCCGTACTGGCAGGAAGGATACGTTTTTATGCAAGACAATGCCTCGGTTCATAGGTGTGGTGCAACCCCACAGTACTTGCATGGGAATAATATACAACTTCTTGATTGGCCAGCTTGATCACCAGACCTTAACCCCATTAAGAATTTGTGGGGCATTATTGTCCGCGACATACAGGGGTGGTAAGCAATTTGAAACTGTTAATAAACTGAAAACCGCGATTTTGTCTGCTTGGGAAAGAATACCCATACCGGTCATTGCTAACCTAACCAATAGCATCCCAAAGCGTCTTATAGAGATCATTAGGCGGAAAGGTAGCTCTATTGACTATTGAAAAATTTTGTTGTTCGGATTGGCTTTGTAATTTTTAGGTGGCCTTATAGCTACGACCAGCTTTCAGAAGTGTACTTTCAGACTTTTTCACTTTTCTATGAAGTAATCATTGGACTGAATAAATCTATTTTGGCGTAATATTCTTCTTGACGAAAGTTATGACTGTGTCAAATTTGGGCGAGAACGGCCGTCAAATAGCTTTAAAACAGCGAAAATTTGGGTGGCTTCATAGCTATGACCAGCACTGTAGCAATGCTCCGTACGTTTTGCAAGCTTTAATTTATGGTAATGCAGAAACAGTGTAAAACAATTTATGAAAAAATTTTGAAAAACTTATGTGAATTGGAAGTTTTGCCTACTTCAGGTGGGCATTTGGGCAGTCGCTTACCTAATTTGGAAAAAAGTTGGGCACGCTCTTCATTCACACAAGTTCTTCATAACTTTTCATACTTCGTTTCTTAGTGTCTCACTGTGTGGATGTATAGACATGTATGGACATGTACGGACATGTCCATACATGTATGGACATTTAGTGGCATGTTCATACATGTCCACACATGTCAATACATGTATGGGATCACCGTCGCGTGGCCATATTTCGCTTCAGAGTGGACGAATTCTGAATCAAAGCCACCATTCAATTCAGCTCGGCGCGGAGAATCTTTTGATATATTGGGAGTTGGGGTACGATGTCTTTGATATTCCGTTTCCAGTTTTTTCAATTTGTTCTGCGGAGCTCCCTTCGTGAATATTGAAGCAACGCCTACCCAACATAGAAATCACGCGTTTTCAAATTCTACTCGCCATAGCCGCAGGATACGAAGCAATCTTGCTGAGCAGATGTGAGTTTCGAAATCAGTAGCCTCTACGAGCAAGTTTCCGATATGTTCGGGTTATTTCATTTTTTCTCGTTTTACGCTTTTTCTCGAAAGCTCGCCGATGGATTTTGGTCAAAATGTTGATGCTTTTGTATTTTAAGGAAACTTCGCTTATAGAGGTTTTCGAACACGCTCTTTACGAAAATCGTGGTCTTTGGGGATTACAGGGGTCTTTTTGGAGAGATATGGTAAGGTGACTGTAACTGCATCACGAAAGTGCGTAACTTTGGCTGCACTTCTCGCGTATCTGTCAGAAACCTTGCCTGCTTGCTTTTCTCAGTCAAAGTTACTAGGAATTGTGCTATCGAATAATGTATGACTCAAGCTCCAGTGTGTGAAATTCGCCGATTCGCCGATTTACGAACCCACGAAAACACGTCCTCATGAATTTTGCCCAAAAAATAAAGATCGCATATCTCGTTGAAATTCCTCCGTGAGCGCTTGTACAACGCGCTGATCAAATCCTCCCACATTTTCAATGGATCTTATTGTGTTAGATTTGGTGCTTTGAACTCTAGCCTCGAAATACCTTTGATATCCAATTGAGAAGCTGAAGCAGACGCAAGCACTATATTCAGTACAGTGGGAGTCGTTTGAAGAAGCGAACATAACATCTGCAGCGAGCGTCATACAAGCGCTCTCGGAGAAATTTCGACGAGATATGGATCTTTATATTTTGGGCAAAATTCATGAGGACGTGTTTTCGTAGGCTCTTAACTCGGCGAATTTCACAGACTGGAGCCTGAGTCATGCACCATTCGATAGCACAATTCCTAGTAATTTTGACTGAGAAAAGCAAGCAAGGTTTCTGACAGATACGCGAGAAGTGAGGGCAAATTTACGCGCTTTCGTGATGCAGTTACAGTCACCTCACCGTATCTCTCCAAAAAGACCCTGTAATCCTCAAAGACCACGATTTTCGTAAAGAGCGTGTTCGAAAACTTTTACAAGCGAAGTTTCCTTACAATTCAAGAGCATTTTTTGGCCAAAATCCATCGGCGAGCTTCCGGAGCACAGGTGCGATAGTGTGAGAATTTTCTCAACCCTCCTTCATCCCTGAACCGATATTAAGGTGACCCCCTTCACCAAAAGCCGAGAAAAAATTTAACAGTGAGGTAAAGTTAAGCAAAGGAGAGATATTTGTACGTGAATTGTTTATGTATATGAAAGGAGGAGTCTGTTGGAAAAAGTGCTTGGTGACGGGTGTGAGTAGTGCTTTTTGAAGATTTTCGAGTTTTTAACATTAAAAAACCATAACTTCTGTAGTTGAAAATCTTTTACGCTATGATGGTAATCATTGGAACCGCCTCGTCCTCCATTTCCAGATAATATATACTTTGCTTGGGGTTCATTAGAAAAAGTGCCGGATGAAGGGTGCTCAGACAATCACAGGCTCTCAGCCGGCGGCCACAAAGCCACCGCGAAGACCCACCAAAAGCGCGGTGGCCTCATCGAGGCCACTTTCGCTTCCCGCTGAAGCCCTCATAGCAATCCGCCCGCTGCCAGCTTTAGCCTCCCGCTCATTGCCATATTTGTAGCCCGCTCGCTTCTACAGTTCTCCGCGGGAAGCGGCAGTGAGGCGATAAGGCCACGGCGCTTTTGGTGGGTTTTCGCGGTGGCTTTGTGGCTGCCGGCTGAAAATCTTGTCTGTGTAGCTTCTTGTTATGCTTGGACTACAAAGTTGTAACTTCAATTAATTCATTATAACGATGACAAGTAACAATGAAGAACATAACCATCTGGAGATATGGCCACATGGAGAAATAGATATGGCCCCAGATGGTTATGTTCTTCATTGTTACTTGCCGTCGTTATAATGAATTAATTGAAGTTACAACGTTGTAGTCCAAGCATAACAAGAAGCTACACAGACAAGATTTTCAGCCGGCAGCCACAAAGCCACCGCGAAAACCCACCAAAAGCTCCGTGCCTTATCGCCTCACTGCCGCTTCCCGCTTTTCTAAAAGATAGGAAGTGTCCGTAGCCCAAAAGCTTAGAGGTTAGCTTAGATCGTATACTACGACTATGTACGGCCACGTTTGTAAACTCTGGATAAAGGTTATAACTAATGAAATGGCAAGTAACAGTTAAGTGGATGAGTACGCAAGTACGCAGTGATACACACGCATAGATTTACGTTCTCTAGAACAGAAAATATGCTGATAATAGACCTTGAGGGTACAAACATTGATAAAACGAATCTATATAAGGAGCGGCGACAAAGCAATACACATTCTACCGCGATAAATATATTCACAAACATGAGTGAGGAACTGCCAGTGTTAGCGCGCAATGAAGGGGTTTCTCATGCGAATCAACAATCCATTCGCGCCTGAGTATCGTTCAGGCAACTGTCCGTTCTGATCCAAACCCATTTTCCTTATGTTGTTATTTGATCGTCGCGACTGAATCGCGAGGAGACAACTGTTACAACATCATTCCATAGAGATCAACTTGCATTCGGTTGTGATACTTTTCCAGACCGAAATTTTTGAATGTGAAATGAAAATGAATGGAAATCTTGGCGATTTGGTCGCGACGATTGAGTCGCGTGAAGTCTGACCGGGGCCTATAGGTACTGGTTCACTAGTACTTGAAATGAAGCACTGAATGATAACGAAAATGAAAACAAAGAAAAGCAAAGATGAAAACAAAGATTAGGCAACAAGAAATGAAAAAATGACGCGAGCCCGCGCTGCCAATCTCGTTTGCCTGCACATCTAACTTTTCTGGTGCGATCAACAATGTCTCGAGCGGGCAACGATATGGCATCCAGTTGGCAGCCACAATACGGCGTTATGAATTAAGGCTGCCTGCTCATAGCATTGATGCGGCCCGCTGACAGAAATCTTGTATTCGCAGCCCCATCGTTTCACGGTCGCTGCCAGCTTAACGGAGTCGCTGCCTCATCGTCGCCTTTTGGCTGCTTTTGTAGGAATGAATGCGCTCTGCAGCTATTTTCTGACTCATGGAAGATTATAGCTGCCCGCTGGTAACCCGTCGCTGCCCGCTCACCGCCATTCCTACAATGTCGTCGCCCGCTCACTGCCACTTTTGCAGTATCGCCGCCCGCTCAGTGAAACTGCCCTTTATCGCCGCCGGATGAGAGCCTATGATTGTCTGAGTAGGTGAGACTTTTGTAATGGGAGTGCTCAAATAGACGTCTTTTTACAATTGTAAAAAAGCCTGTACTTGAGCACTCCCATTATGAAAGTCTCACCCACCCTTCACCCGGCACTTTTTTCAACGGAATCCGGGCAAAGTATGTATTTTCTGAAAGCGGAGGACGAGACGGTTCCAATGGTAACCATAGCGGCGTACAAGATGTTCATCTGCAGAAGTTACGGATTTTTCTATTCTAAAAACTCGTAAATTTCCAGAAATCACTACCGACACTTTTCACCAGGCACTTTTTCAACAGGCACTTTTTTCAACAGACTCCAGGCGAACTATATATTTTCTAAAAGCGGAAGACAAGACGGTTTTAAAACATCCCTTGCTGACGTTGCTGTTCATCTACAGAACTTACGAATTTCTTCTTTGAAAAATTCGTAAATGCTTAAAATTTGAAGCTCCATTTTGATCAGGTACTCAGTAGTGCACAGCTGAACATAAGATACGAGCATGTTTGCAAAGATTGATTGATTTCGTGTAGCTAATGCTCATTGAGTACAAGAAAAATAGGTTTGAAAAGATGTTCGATCAATAACTTCAAGCATGTAAGTTAGATATTCGTAAAGTGATGGCTCACTGGTAATTTCAAGCTTACTCGTGGATTTTTTGAGATTAGAAACGAACAAACAAGTTACCAAAGGGGATTCAAGGGAAAGGAGACAGAGGATTACGGGGTGGATAGGAAATGAATTTCATGGAGTTTAGTTGTCAATGAATTATACTATTTTACAGATT